ATTTGTTCTTTAACAGAATGATCACTAAAAATACCGGCAATATTTACAAAATCAAAACCTTTATTGACATATTTGAATTTAATCAAATGTTTTTTTATTATCTTTAAGGCGATCAATTTGGGAAACAGTTTAGAATAACAATATGCAATTATAATTTGGACGATTTCATACTTAGGACTGCAATATGGAATTGTGTTGCAATCTTCTAAAATTTGATGTAATTTATTAACAGGTAAAGAACAGAGCTTGGTTAACAGATAATGTCTGCCGTTGTTTTTTGAAATAGAAATTAGGTCCGAAATATTTGTATTGTTGGTACGAAATTTTCTTTGATTGCGATTATAGTACTGATAAAATAGAACGTATAAATATGACTTCAGAGTGTTGTCTCAAGCTGACAGCTTGATTGTATTACAATTCCTCAAAGCATATTTATCAATAAGCGTTGGAGTAATGTCTTTAAATAGATAAACCTGTGATTCATTATAATTTTATGAAATAAAGATTAAGAAAGGACCAAAAATGGTCCAGGCAATGAACGAATGTATTGAAATTCTTGTTTAATAATGAATACATGTATCTCATTTTGACACTAGAAATATATATTGCTTATAAATATAAACAGAGAATAAAGAAGGCTTATCTTCCTCTACTGATCAGACCATCAAAAACTTTCAAACAATGACATGCAAACTTTGTTTTGATTTCAATTGTGTTTAGATATGTGTTAGATTTCCATTATTGCCCTAAGTTAAAAAAAAAATTACTTCATTGACAGTTTTATAACCTCTAATTAGGGAGATTATCCAACAACAAAAATAATCTAGTTATACTTTGAAATTTAAATCTATTGAAATAGCTTATTCTGCCTTTTTTTATAATGTTTTTTTTTTCAGAGGAAACTTCAAACATTGTTGATGATGTAATGAATTTTATTCAGATATGCTTGTCAATAATGAGAAAAAAACCTCAAAGCTAAAGTCAGTATGTCAGCAAAATTGTTCAAAATATGAATCAAAAGACCTGAAAATAAATAGAAGTGATTGATGCAATGGTCCGTGCCGATTTGGGATCATCAAGAAGAATTTGCATTTAGAAAACAACTGTCAACATAACACTTGGAAACGATGAATTCTGTTTTTGTAAAGTTTTAAATTTCAACTATAAATACGTTAAGCAGCATAAGTGTGTTTAACTTTCGTTGTTAATTTGTTTTATATTGTAGCATGTAATTGAGTGTATTCGAAAAATAATGTAATTAATCTTGATAAAGTTTCGATTTCTGTTTCGATTACAATAAGTAATCGATTGTAATCCATAACTTCAAAAATCCGAGTTATTGATTCTTAAAATTCACAAAGTAATCAATTAATGATTGATGGCTTTTGTCAGTAATCATGTTCATCCCTTCCTTACCTTAACCTCCACGCTACTATTCCACCCTTTTCTATCTTTTGCCGCTGTTCTGGCTACGTTCCAGCTTGTCCATCCTTGTTGGTTCCTTTCTTTCTCTGTTGTTCTTCTCCATGTAGTTTTTGGCCTTCCTCTAGTTCTTTTCCCTTCCGGAGCCCATTGTAGTGCTACATAACTGTTGTTGTCTCTTTCACGCCTTAATATGTGTCCTATTCATGTCCACCGTCTCCTTCTGATTTCACAACTGATGTTTCTGGTGTTAGCAATTTCGTTTACTGTTTTGTTTGATGTTTTACTTTGCCATCTTATTTTTAGGATCTTTCTTAGGCATTGGTGTTGTACAGTATTCAGTTTCTTTTCTTCGAGGTTTGTGAGTTTCCATGTTTCACATCCATACAATAATACAGGTCTAACTAATGATTTATACAGGTGTATTTTTGTTTTTCCGGCCAATTCCTCTTGCATACCATATATTTGCCTTCTGTATTCTGTTCTTGATGTCGCTACATCCTCCTCCCTCTTTGTCCATGACTGCTCCCAGGTATGTGAACTTGTCTACCTCTTCTACTTTCTCGTCGTATAATGTTATCAGCTCTTTACTCTTTGTTTGCTTGGATCTCAGAGTTTTACACTTTTTGGGGTTAAGTTTCATTCCAACTCTTTCAGCTTCTGTTGTTAATTTCTGCGTTTTCTCATCAAGGTCGCTAAGTTTTGAGGAAAGAAGTGCTATGTGGTCAGCAAAGTCAAGATCTTCTAGAACAGTATTAAAATTCCATCTTATCCCTCTGGCTTTGTCTGCAGTTGTTTTTCGCACGATCCAGTCTATGACTAGAAGGAAAAGAAAACCAGACATTAAACATCCCTGTTTCACTCCTGATTTTAATTCAAACCATTCTGATGTTTCTCCCTGATCGATGACGGAACACTTAAATCCTGTACATATTTCCTTTATAGTTCTTATGATCTTGCCTGGTATTCCATAGCTCTTCATGATCTTCCATAGACTCTCTCGGTGGACTGAGTCAAATGCTTTTTCAAAGTCTATAAAAAGTATGATTAAAGCTGACCTCCATTCATTTGTTTGCTCAAGTATGTTTCGAAGGATAAAAATCTGTTCGGTTGTTCCTCTTTTTGATCTAAAACCTGCCTGCTCATTCCTTAATCTTTTGTCTATTCCTTCTTTTATTCTTTCTATCAGCATTCTGCAGAATACTTTACTGAGAACAGGTAAAAGAGTAACTCCCCTCCAGTTGTTACAATCTGTCATATCGCCCTTCTTAAAGATCTTGCAAATCAATCCCTTTCTCCAGTCTGATGGCCATTTTTCGTCTTCCCATAGGCTCTTAAATATTTCTGCTATTTTCTCTGCTGTTAGGTCGATGTCTGCCTTTATTAGCTCTGGTGTTACGCTGTTTATTCATGCTGACTTCCCATTTTGTGTCTTCTTCAATACTCTTTTAACTTCAGCTACTGTCCATTCTCCTATTTCAATCTCGTCTATTATAATTTCAACCAGATCTACATCTTCCTCTGAAATTGGATGAAGAGGGTCTTGCCTATTTAAAACTTCACTAAAATGTTCTACCCATCTATTCAGTATATCGTTTCTTTCACTTTTCAGTTCTCCTTCTTTACTTTTTACTCCTGTGTGTTGCCTCTTTCTTTCACCTGTTAGGATTTTAGTGATATTATATAAATCTTTGCTTCTGCCATTTTCTGCTGCTTTTTCTGCATCTTCAGCCATCATATTGTACCACTTCCTTTTGCCCTCTCGAGCACTTTTCTTAACACCTTTGTTTTTCCGTTTGTATTCTTATTTAGTCTCGTTTTTAATCTGTCTGATCTAGTACCTTCTAATTTATTTTTAATTTCTTTTCTTTCATCCACCATTTTCCATGTATTGTTGGTTATCCATTTTTGACTAATCTTTTTACTGCTCCCCAATACCTGTTTAGCTGCCTCAGTGTATATCTCTACTGCTCTTTCATATTTTAACACTGGATCTTCTATGTCACTTTCTTCCAGTACTTGAAATCTGTTTCTCACTTCAAGATTGTACTTTTTCCTTACCTCCATATTTTTTAGCTTGTTTAGGTCATATCTCTCTTTTTTGCTTTTTTTCTTGTCACCTGTATTTCTTGCCAGTTTTGATTCTGATCTTTGACCTTACTAAGTAGTGATCAGTATACACATCTGCTCCTCTCATTACTCTTGTATCTAATATTGATGTCATATCCCCACGTACCATTATATGATCTATCTGATTTGTTGTTTTTCCATCAGGAGATTTCCATGTTACTTTGTGTATTTCTGTGTGTGGGAATATAGAGCCTGTTATGATGAGGCCGTTGATTTAGCAGAAATTGCATAATAATTCCCCATTTTCATTAATTGTCCCACATCCATGTTTTCCTAACACCTCTTGCATATGGCTGTTGTCTCTGCCTACCTTTGCATTCATGTCACCCATAACTATAAGCATATCATTCTTATTGCAGGATGAAACATTATCTTGTAGTTGTTAGAAAAATTCTTCTTTCTCTTCCTCTCTTGCATCATTTGTTGGTGCATATGCTTGCACAACTGTCAACTTCTTATACTTGGAATAGAATCTTACTTTTATCATTCTCTTGTTGCTTGGTGTCCATTCTATCAATGATTTCTTACCTCTTTCATTCATCATTTTAGCTACTCACTTGACTTAATGTTCATCATCCCCGACATAGATCACTGTGTCTCCACTTTGAAGCTTGGTTTCACCTGATCCTTTCCATCTACTCTCACTGATACCTAATATGTCAATACCATAATTTTTCATTTCCTTTGCTACTTGTGCTGTTTTTGATATGTCTGCCATTGTTCTTACATTCCAACATCCTATGTACGTATTCTGTTTTGGCGCTACTATGGAACCTATCGGCTTTTGGGCTTCCTTTCGGCTTTCCCCCAAATGTGTCATGTTTGATTCCTCAGCAGTACACCAGTTTTGGGTTTCTTCGGCGTTTCGGATTTCTGTAACAAGCTCGTTTTTACAGAGCTGGGTTGTTAGCCCAACGTCCAACCTCCGCTCCAGTGGACCGGGTTCATCCCTGCATCAGTCTATAATAATTGACAACATTTATAAAATTCTACTTAAAAATATCGGGGAACACCCAAATCTATAAATTATTAGTATTTTTTTATTACACAGAATACAAAAGGATATATAACGATAAAACAAAACAGGATACGTCTTTTCAACTAAGTACCAAGTATGAACATTTGTGACATCAGGACTCAAGATAATATTATTTTGGGGAGAATTTTATTAACAGTAAATTTGTTAATAAACGAAAAAGGATATCATTGTAAGAGTTTATATTTTAATGCGAGAACAACCTACATAATCTAAACTTAATATGTTTCAGTTTGAGCCACGCCTTTTCCTGAAAGTTCGCCAAATTTGTTCCTCTCGTATCATATATATGATGCTACCAGTAAACAATACCAAATCAACACATATTTACGTAATAATTTTCATCTGAGGTTTTAGAAATTAAAATGAGATTAAGTTCGCCGTTTTAGTAAGATAGCTTGCTTTACATTGTAGACATGTGTTGTGATTTTGGTGTACGTGAACGGACAACACTCTGTAAATGACGGTATAGCGTTCAGATATCTTGTGTATGTGGTGAGTACTAGTATTCGATACTGTTAAGAGGTCATACTTATTTAGATGTTATAAAGGGCTGCGATGAGATTATCACAAAATAAGTTGGTATCTAATATTTACTTCAATATGATTTTATTGTATGCAATGCTGTGCTTATAAAAGTTAAAATTAGTGAGCTAATTTTGCTTCTTTGGAAAAAATTTTGGGTTTATAATGCTTACGGAAAACTCTGAATAAAAAACACGAAAGCAAACGAAGTAAAGTTATGTAACAAAAATCATCTACAAAAGCATTTATTTAAAGGGTTTAGCAAATTGCAGTGTGTTTTAGTTGTTGTTTCTTTTTTTGTTTTGGGGGTGGGGGGGAGGGGGGAAGGGGCATAGAATTTGAGATCAGAATGCATCATATTTACAAATGGTAATACATTTGGTTAATGTTTTATATAAATTCCGCTTATAAATATCACCTTGGTTATTTTAGAAAGTATTACTCTCTTACTTTGTGTGATGCCAGATATCATTACTCAACGGAGTATGCATTTGTTAGCATAATGATTTCGAACGCTTTACCATCAAAAACGTAAATTATAATACTAAAACTATTTTTAATTGCAATGGTATACATATCACTTTATGGAAGATTATGTAGGAATTTTTCTTTAATTCAAAGTTTCTCTAAAAACACCTAGCTAGAAATTACCTTTGCCTTCAATTTGTAAAATGTTTAAACACGGAATCTTGATTACTTTTTTGTCTAAATATGATTTGTTCTGTATGTTTGGTAAAAGAGAGGCGAAAGATACCAAAGGGACATTCAAACTCTTAAGTCGAAACTTAACTGACAACGCCATGGCAAAAAAGAAAAAGACAAACAGACAAACAACAGTACATAAAAGACAACATAGAAACCTAAAGACTGAGCAACACGAACCCCACTAAAAACTTGGGGTGATCTCAGGTGCTCCAGAAGGGTAAGCAGATCCTGCTCCACATGCGGCACCCGTCGTGTTGCTCATGTTAGTACAAACCCGGTGATAAGTCTAATTCGGTAGGTCACATTCGGTGAAAAGGGGACGGGATTGTAGTTACGACAATTGGAACATATCCGTTGTCATCTGTGAAACGGATATTCCATAACGGTCAACTCGTTATGGCGTCCGTAAGATTTACGATATGATGATTTCAACTTCACCACTTGGAACTCTTGGTTTACTAGCTTCCTTGTGAGCAACCCTCTATCAATGAAATCATGATAGGAAATACAATCCCTGGAATATCGTATCAACTGGGAGATATATACTCCGTATGCAGGCGCTGCTGGAATGTTGCTACATAGAAATGGAAAAATCATCTCTTTTGTCGTAAAGTTTTGTTTTCAACCGACCCTCGTTGTCAATTTCTAAATGTAAGTCAAGATATGAGGCAGATTTAATTGTATCTGTTGTATCCTTTATCTCAAGTTCGATGGGATAGGTGCGTTCAACATAGTGACTACATTTTGAATTATTTAGTGAGAGAACATTATATATATACCGGAAAGTAAAGTTGAAAGATACTGCTAACTTCTTTTCTTTCTTCCCACGAAGTTCCTGTATAAAGTCAGCCTCATTTGAATAAAGGAACAAGTCGACAAGAAGAGGAGCATAGTTTATTCCAATGGGAATGCCGATTGTTTGTTGAATTACACGTCTTCAAAACGTAACAAATATGTTGTCAAACAAGAAATCAAGCATCTTGATAATGTCAGTTTCAGAGAATTTTTTGTTCGAATCAGAAAGATATTTTACAAAGTACGATTTATCCCTCCCTAAGACAAATACTTGTATCTACGTTGGCCATTCTTTTTTTTATGAAACAAAGCAGGACCAACTCTTTCAATTTGTCTTTTATAAATAGCCATGTCCATTACCAATCCCAGCAAAACATACTAACACCTTTGTCAATAGGTGGATTATATATCGCGTTCGTATATATAATTTCTGTACAGACTTTTCTAAAGTTATGCTGCGTAAACTTAACATTTATTTTTGGTTATTTCTATCGTAACCTGATTTGATCTGTCTTATGTAAAATAATTACTGTTAGAAAGGTGTGTGTGTGTGAAGATTATCTGGTTTTACTCATTTGCATATAGGCAATGATTTTTCATCTGTAATGATGTGTGGTAATCAAGTAGAAGTCTTCGATTTCAATGATTTAAAAATGATTAAGCTGCACCTGGTGTTTCGGATATCATTTAGTTCATTTTTTACCAAGGCCGTAAATCCTCATCAGGTACCATAGCCTTGTATAATTATATTATAATTCGATTAGTTCTTGCTGTGGTAACATATCAAATGTAGTAGCATTTTTAGGGCAATTGTAAGTATTGGTAATTATCTGTAGATTTGCGATATAATTTGACATCTAATATCTGTTCTGTTTCAAATCGGTTTCCTTTAAATATTGTTACATCCAAAAATTGTATTTAATTATTAGAGATTTCATGTGTAAATTTTAGTAGTGGATGAATACTATAAGCAATTTGGTAAAATCCTTAAGAAATTGTTCGCTCCCTTTAAATGATAAGAATCCGTCATCTCTGTAGACAGAAAGAAGAGAAATGTCAGACGAGTATGGAAACCGTTTCAATATTTCAGAAACGTTTTCGTATATTCTAATATCTGTTAAAATAGGTGGCATTGGGGATCCCATTGGAACCCTAATTTTCTGTTTGAAAATTTGCCCGTTGAATTCAAATTCATTATTTGCAAGGGCAATTTTAAGTAATTCCAGTATAGCCTTTTTGGGATAAGATAAGATAAGATATTTTATTGGTCTAAAATCCAAATTATAGGATTGTTACCAAGACGTATACATAAATATACAAACATTTATCTGACCACATTTATAAACATTGTATGTATATATTTGTATATCCCCTCCATTATTAAAAGACAATATTGTTACAATAATAAATGTACATAATCTCTGCTGAGGAGGTGGTATCATAAAGTTATTTAGTACTCAATAAAGCATTTCTAGAATTGTACATGTCGCTTATGAATTTTACAGTAATTCTAATTAAATCAGTCTCAACGCACGTATACAAAAATTTAAATCTTGCTTCATTAGTCATATTTAAAAAAGAGGGAACTATTTCACTAATTTTGGAAAATAATTGTTCTCTAATTGTATTTAGTTTTTTACCTTTTATAGTGAAATGAAATTCATCTTCTACTTCTAAAAGACACAAGGGATAAATTCTTTCTTCTACAGGAGTTTTAATGTGTCGACCTTGTTCAATTTTAAGAACACTATTACTTATGCGAATTTTGGCAAAATGTCCTATTACTTTTCTATCAATATTTAACAATAAATAGGTTTCCGATTTGTAATTTTCTCTAAGCTGTCTATATGTTCTTTCCAATAATTCAGATATCTATCATTAAGTTTGGTATGAAGTGCATATAATAAACGCCTTTTTGAAATAGTATCATGATTTTACCAAACATGTGAAAAATTTAATGTAGCAAGTAACTTGACCAAGGTTAGAACATCGAGGCAATACGATGGCACTGGGGTGTCAAATTTTCACTGCATAATTACTTATTTTCAACAAGAAATGAATTGGAAAAAATATAATTCAAATCATTTAAGGACAACCTGCCTAAAAATGAAAGAAAAGCATTGCAATTACTACGTTCAAATGATCGTATCATTATCAAAAAGGCAGATAAAAACTCATCAACAGTTGTTCTTGACAAAGATATATATATATATAAATGGCAAAAGATCAATTAAATGACAATGTACACTAGGAAAGAATTAACGAATCTCATACAACGGAAATACTAAAAAGTATCAACACTATTATTCATCGTCTACACAATGAATCTTACATTGATGAATTTACATTTAAGTTTCTAATAAATGACCAGGGGAATAGATTAGGGAGACTATACTTCCTACCAAAACTTCATAAAATTAATCAATCGGATAGAGAAAAGATTAAAATTGATATCAATCAGTTACAGAATATAAACGTCCCAGTTAGATCTATCGTATCCTTATGTAAGAGCCCATTGGAAAAAAAATGCACAATATATCGATTTTTTTATCAAACCAGTTGTCAATCAATTTTGGACATACACACAAGATACAACTTCCTTCATAAACAGATTGTAAAAAATAAGAGCACCTGCGGACATATTAACGAGCCCATTTTACATTTCAAGTATGTACACCAATCTACATCATGCTGAAATTGTTAATGCAATCGACAGAGCATGGCCACTAATAATGCAGTGTAAATTTGACATCCCAGTGCCACCCAAAAAGGCTATACTGGAATTACTTAAAATTGTCCTTGCAAATAATGAATTTGAGTTCAACGGGCCAATTTTCAAACAGAAAAATTGGTGTTCCAATGGGATCCCCAAGGTCGCCTAGTTTAACAGATATTAGAATATGCGAAATCGTTTCTGAAATATTGAAACGGTTTCCATACTCGTCTGACATTTCTCTTCTTTCTGTCTACAGAGATGACGGATTCTTATTATTTAAAGGGAGCGAACAATTTCTTAAGGAATTTTACCAAATTGCAAATAGTATTTACCCACTATTAAAATTTACACATGAAATCTCTAATAATCAAATACAATTTTTGGATGTAACAATATTTAAAGGAAACCGATTTGAAACAGAACAGATATTAGATGTCAAATTATATCGCAAACCTACAGATAATTACCAATACTTAGAGAAATCGTCTGCTTACCCAGCATCCGTATTCAAAGGATTTATAATTGGTGAAATTACAAGGTTCATAAGATGGTGTTGTAACAGAGATGACCTCAACACACAGATAGAACTATTCAAACAAAAACTTATACTAAGAGGATACTTGGAAAATGAAATTAATCCATTGATAGATAAAGCACTGGAAAAAAACAGACAGAATACATTATGTTATAAAACAAGGAATAAACAAAACTGTCCACCACTAGTTCTAGCAACTAAATTTAATCCACTCTTTAA